GCCGAGCCTATCCGGGATGGGCCTTTACTCAGAAACCGTGTGTATGTGATAAGGCGCCTTTGTCCACTGCGTTCCCTCGCATTGTGCCTGGACCAGGTCTGAGTGAGAAGAGGACTGAGAGTTGGAATTAAACAGGAGGCCCCTACTGTCTGGTACATACGTAGTTCTAGACCTATCTTCCGAAGCATATGGTATGAAAGCATAGTACACAAATTTCGACCTCGAGCAGCTGAGCAGGGAGATGAGGCCGATCGATCTTTGATTCATCTTCAATTTACCGTGGTTAGTCTGCTAGGAGGGTAAAATATTTGAGAATGCCTTCGAAGGGAACAAACCTGGAATGCAGATAGTTCTGCATTCGAATTCTGTGTAGAAAGTGTTCCGCCCACCACCACATCCTTCGTAAAGATAGGGAAAACATTGCTCTAGTTCCGGATCGAAGAAGTACTGAAAACAGTGGTCATTTCTGCAGAAGCCATCACAATAGTTGTAATGCTCATATTTAGTAATATTAAATAAGAGCCTGTTGGGACAAATCGGGCTCTACAGGTCTTCATTAACGTCTTCCTCAGAAAGTTGGAAGGTAAGTATAGAAAGGACAGCCAAGCAACCAGGTGGGGCTAGAGAAAGTGCACAGCTTGGATGAGCAATGCGACCACAAAGTTCATTGAAATCTCCTGACTGCAGTACTTTCCTTCTATTTTCCCAGTAAAGTTGGTAAAAGGAGTCTCCTGCAGCTGGAGTCTTGCTCAATTATTGAGAATTCTTCGTTTGTCCGCAAACTCGTCCAAGAAATCCACAGCACTTCTAAACCTTGTATCTCGCCACTACGCAAAAAAGATCGTCATCAATGTGAGCCCGCAAAACAGAAACTTTCCGCGGTGCGGCCCTGCCATCACCTTCAAGGTCCCCGCTCTGTGGCCCATGTGACTCCTGCCATCAGGAAAAGATTGTGCGCCGTCGGTGTGCAGGATGACGCAGAGGTGATGTCCATAGAATCGAACTATGACGACAGTTCATGCTTAGTCTCATGGAATTTCAGAAATGCCCCAGGACTGACAGAGAAAGGAGTGCCATAGGATGCAGTAGAACATCCAAGAGTCCGAGGAGGGGGAAGTCGTTTCTATTTTTAATACCTCACTGTATATAAGGAAAAAAGAAGGAGGGCAGAAATCTTCATTGCAAAGGCGGCGCCGTGCGGGCAGAGGTGCACGGTCGAGTCTAATAAAGGCAGCGAGTGAACACCAACAGCCTTGATTTCGTTGAGGGCTTGTATTGAAATTGTAATGAGCATCATGTTCCTCTAGTTTCCTCTAGCATCCGTTCTCCGCGATCACCGGTATGAAGTATAGTCTTGCTCGGTGAGGATGCTGGAGCGTGTCAAGGGTGCTGGGCAGTACACGAGGTCAGGTCGTTTTCCACCACTTATGGTCGTTTGCCAGCTTCTTTAATTAGTAGGGGACAGATCGGCGCCACGCGAAGTCGAGACACCCTGATAAGCCCCAGCATCCGCAACTAGCAAAACGGAGAATGAAAGGTCCCGACCGTTGGTTGAAAACCTTGAAAGATCGGGAAAGAGATAAAACCGCATCCTAATGCATACTCCAGGTAATGAAACCAAGGAAATATTCCGTGAAAAAACTTAGGCTTTCGAGTGGGCTATAGGTTCGCGCAGTAGATGCAGAATTACCGACGTAAACTTCAAAATCAGCTTGCTTACTCTAATCGTGTTGTTCGGCCTTGGACAGCAGCCATCACCTCGATCAAGCTTCATTGTACACGTCTCTTGCATGTTTTCTGGTACATGTGCTGGTTGTCTGAAGATGGCTGCCAAGGAGAGCCCAGCAAAGCTGGCCGTTAACGCCAAGAAGAGATACATCTGTAATACGTACAATGTGAAGGAGAATGTGGAAGTGAAAGTAAAACTTGCGAGCGATAGAGCGGAAGCCTCAAAAATATTGTGCAAATTCTCGGAAACGACATGGAGGAGGTCTAAAAATGAGCAACGAAATGTGGGCACATTATCTCAGGAAGAGAAAGGAGAGGTGCCTGCCTGTCTGTCTGGTGAAGTGGTATATATACCATTTTCACTTTAAATCGGACACTTTTCAAACCAAATCGGACACTTTTCAAATCAAATCGGACACACCCCTTACAATAGGCAGTTGATAACTAGACCACACTAGGTACTGCTGCAAGCCCCGCCCCAACACCCCCCCACCCCCGCCCACTTTTCAGCGCGGTCACGGTTTTCCAAAATGTTTTATGAAATCTGCTTCTTCGACTTTTTTCACTTTTGCTAGTTGCACACACACTTCAACTGAAAAGGATTGGTACCGATACAGATCTGACTCCGCCCACTTCACAATCAAGTGACGTAAGTTCTGAATTTTTATAACTTCTTTCGACGTCGGTTTTTTCACATTCAATCTTCACAAAACGAATATAGCCATGCTTTTACACACTAGCAGTGCTTGGACCT